TGCTCGACTTAGCGGTTATCCACCGGGCTTAGCAGGCTTTCCAGGCCCATTAGAATTGCACTTGTCCACTGCTGCTTCACACTTCGTCAAGCCAGTCTTCATTATATCGAGCCTGGGAAAATTATACTACCAACGCACAGTGTGGAACCAGGACTCCTTCTGAGGTAGAAGTTTCCGTTCCTTGGCCATCACGTAAGCTCCGTGATATCTGGCAAAAAGAGCCAGTCAACAATGTCAACTCGGAATGAATGGATTGCTCACATCTCGTACGGTCCAACTATACCAGAAGACATCATCACTCCTCTCAAATCGATCTTGAGCTGCGGGTTTCGCAGGATGCCCTCTCCCAACATTGCAACGAAGAGAGCTGCAACATGGTATCACGCGCAATATTAGCTCGGCGTGCATACCAGACGATGATACCCCGACGAGGTGTACATTCCTGTTCAAGTGAGGGTACTTCTTGAATAACTGGCCGCTCAAAATGACCCTGTGGAGGACTATTGTGATGAATATATTCTCTGATCTGAAGAATGCTCACATGTTGTCGATGAACTTCTCCAAGCTGATCTCTATCAGACCCAGGCTAAACCCGGTAGGTCCAGGCGCATCGATCCAAATGCTGTTTGCTTGCTTAGTCCACGAGTATCTAGCGCCAAACGGTCACATTGCAAAACACCGCACAAGGACATTCGCACGCATTATTCAGGAGCTCTTCCCCGTTAGGAGACATCCTGCATGGCCCAATGGTAGTCATGGCCGCCCCCAAGCTACTCATGCCCGGCCCACCAGCCATGTACAAGAAGGTCGGTGCCGATGCTGGATCTACGTCTTCAGCTTCCATAACCGCGTAGAAGTACCTCGAGGCAGCTTGACCTTGATTGTCACTCCGCACGCTGAATATACTTACCTATTTAGCGTGCCAACTGGTATGTATCCGAACTCCTGTTTACCCTTGCTGTCTGGACACAAGACCCCGCCGCCATTCAGAGAACGAAGATGATGAAACGCGGGCGTCTCACCTGGAGATAATCGATGGACGGTAACGGCCTGAGTTCAAACACGGTACCTTCGTTCCCAAGGCCGCCGGCATCAGTGATTGCTACTATGCCGGCGAACGCGGAAACCAGAGCGATAATCATATTGGTGAGAGACAAATGATAACGGGCCCTATGGCTTATGACTAGCAGGATGGTTGGCCGCTGGGGAGAAATGATAAATTCCTTCTCGAATAGGTCCTTGAAAAGGGGGGCGGCGGGAGGCGACAAACCCCCTCAAGCTGACGGTGGACCCCCCCTGCTAAGGGGGGCGAAATAGGCTAGGCATGGGTGATGACATCATCTACACCTAGCCTATTTCGCAACTCACCGTGATGTTTATTATCAATTGACCATTGGCAATACTGAATAGTATCTGCGCCCCATGGACCATGAGTAACTCGCGTGTCAATCACCTTGCGTACGCGTGCACACGTGTGACACGTCACACGCTTGTAAAGTTTGTGGAGGGATATACTCGAAGTCGTGATCGGGTCGTCGATTGATACTATAGGTAGTCGATGCTAGTGACTCTGGCAACACAATCTCAAGGGTAGATACGGGTATAAGATGATACTTAGCTGCGGTCGACGAGGTTGGCAGGGGTGCCAACAGTAATCCTCGAATGAATCCCTCGAAAGACTCTGAAGGCAATCGATCGTGTGACGCATGCACACGTTAGCTACGGATAAGGCTCTCGGGCTCGCCTCATACTATCTATTACGCACAGGCAGGGCCGCACAGGCGGATGACAACAAAAAAGGTAGCTTACAATAGCCGAACGGAGTCGATTTACATATAGCGAGCAATCGATACAATGCAGCGAACAGACTGGCCAACAGGAGTGGGCAGATCCTCCTACCACAAGCTTACAAGCGTGTGACGCGTCACGCGTTTACAATGTAAACTCAGACCTTTGGCCATTCTATTAAACCGCGAAGTCTATTCTAGACAAACACGACTATGGTTTAATCGCAGGTGCAATTTATATCTCACATGGAACCATTCCCCGAAAGAACTCGACCCACGGAGTCAGCTTACCCATGCGATACATCCACTAGTAAAGAAGATGGCCGACTCAAAGTCAGAGCAAAAAATTTTCCATCAAACAGCGGTAGTCGATCATTTATCGCAGCGTGGCAGGATAAATACGCTTGGCTAGAGTACTCTATCTCTAAAGATAGTACATTCTACTTCGACTCCAGGCATTTTGGTCTACCCAAAGTTGGTAAGGGCTCCCCATTGGGGAGTCCCCATTCTTCAGCGACCCGAGCGGTTTCTCGAACTGGAAGCGAACCCTCTGCGAGCGGCTATCGTCAGACATCTGCTAAGGCGTCTGTACAATGCCAGCTAATGAAGGATAAAGGTCAATCAGTTGCCACTTCGGTCAATACCCAGAACCAGAAGATGGTCCGAGAGAACCGCCGTTACCTGAAGTCGATTATTTGTTGTATCATCTTTTGTTGCAAGCAAGGGTTGGCCCTACGAGGGAATAGACTCTATTCAATAGAGAAAACCTCTCTACAAAGACCGATGGTGACGATCCGGGTAACTTTTTGGAACGGACTCATTTCCTGGGACACTTTGATGAGATTGTGAAACAGAGGCTCTCCAGTGGACCTGGAAATGCTAGATACACTCATCATTCGATACAGAATGATCTATTCGCCAGTGCAGCAGAGCTCGTTCGTCAGTCGATGGCATCCAAGGTTGCAGCTCGTGGTGCTTTCAGTCTCATATGCGACGAAGCTCGCGATATATCTCCCACAGTGTGAGTCACACTCAAAGACTCTCCCTCTGCGTCCGATACGTGCACGGAACTCAGATCAAAGAAGAGTTCCTTGCTTTCACTCGTTGTGGGAGTTGGACGCCGCGAACCTTACAGTTGAAATTTCTCACACGCTCGGTGAAGTCGGCATACATCCTGCCCTAATGGTTAGTCAGTGCTATGATGGAGGCTCCATCATGGAGCCAGTCTTATGAGCGGCTCTGTTAGCGGAGTGGCCCAGCGCGTGAGAAAGCAAGCTAATGAGGCCCGGTCCGCTAACGGATCTGGATCTGATGGTAGTTGAGGTGTGCAGAGCCGAGAAATTCTCCGGATTATTTCAGGTGTGCTGATAGGATTAACGAACTAAAGCCTTGAGCCAAGATGGCTACGGAGTTATCCAATGAAGGATCTGGTTTCAAGTTGAAACTTTCAACAGCTTAACTACGAACGTACGCACATCGCGCGGGGGCTCGCGTATCGATCAAGAACAAGCGGGCGCCCATGATCAGCGCACGATGTGATAAGTAGCCGAGGACAAGCCAAGAGTAGAAAATTCACTATGGATATCATCCCACTCGATATCAACATCACCGGAGGCACGAACAGCAACAACCGTATCCCTATAATAAGACTTCTGCGGTCGTTTACGACCGGAAATGATTACATCATTCAGTACAGTGTACTATATGATGTAATCATTTCCGGTGTACTAAGTACACTGAGACGCATACCGACTAAGCTCGGACGAGTAGTATCACAGTTGTCTCTAGTACTATCATGCCAAGAACGTCATGGCTTGCTAGCCAGCTCTATCGTGAATCACGATTCGTGAACGCAGTTTTCCAGAAGTCCCAGCAAGATTCCAGCCCTGAGAAGCAGTCTAGGATGGTCCCATCTCTGTCCGAAACTCGGTGGGATTGTCAGTTCCGTGCTTCGGATACTTTGTTTGAGACCACGCCCGCTATATTCGAGACGCTCGAGGACCTCGAGTCGAGGTTTTCGAGGAGGAGGGCGGAGATATGGGTGGCACTGCTCAAGGACTTCGGCTACGCCTCAATGCAGGGTTCATGGTTACCTTGGTGACTATGCGCTGGGTATAGCATGACCCAGCGCTATCAGCGGCACGATTTGATGTAATTTTTGGCTGCTTCAAGGTGGCGGGATTATGGATATATCTTTACGACGTTACGCTGATGGGTAATGGAGCTGATGGAAAACCTGAAAGGTTTTATGAGTTGTTTGTGGAGACTGCCGAGAATTTTGGTCTGTACCTCCTCCCGAAAAGCAAAACTATCTGTCTCCGTCTGACTCAGAAGGAGACAGATAGTTTTGCGTCGCAGAAGTTCTGAGGCTAGTGGTCCGGTGACCCATCTTGGTTCATTGTGGTCAATAGTTGATGACCATCTGCAGTGTAGTTGTCGCAGAGATGTTAAAGGTTTTCAACAGTTGTTCTCTAGACCTGGTAAATCGAAGCGTGACTATTTAGCTATTGGTGGAAAACAAGTTGAGTATCCGAATGACCACGCTGGGGCTCGCCTTCAAGGCGCTGGCAAGGCGGCGCCTTGCCAACGATCTTTTGAGGAGTATTATTGGAGGTTTCCAAACTCCATAGAATGAACGAGTTCAACTAGGAGAGGGAGAGGCTTGTCAACTAGATACCCTCTTGAACCTGTTGAACGGAGATTTTGATACTTCCTGTTCACATTTGAGTGCTACTGGTAAACTACCAGTAGCATTTATATACGTTGAAACGGTGCCAACGCTCGAGCCACTCGGTCCGTCTGTCAGTTCAAAGGGTAAAACCACCAACACTGTTGGTCCAACAGTCAAACCCGAGACCCAGACGATCTAAACCGTCAACGATCCTGAAATATCCGACTTGTCGTGACGAAGCAACCCGAGGACGTGGCTGTGTGGCGGGTGTCAGGTTGTCCACTCAGAATAGCCCGAACTCATAGATGAATCGTTCATCATGGTCTTGTCAGATATTACCGGCTTCGGAGATCAGCGCAGCACCCCGGGTGGGTGGGATTTCTTTCTCAAGGACATAGGGACGCCTCTATATGAGGACATATATGTGGTAGGAACCTCTCTATATGGTAGACGACATACGGGGTGAAATTGCAAGGCTACGAAATCATTCCGGTGGATTAAATGTACGATTTACGTTCAATTTAGCTGTTGCTACAGATGTGGACCTTTCCGAGTTGACCTTCTGTACGAGGCCTACTGGGGCTAGGGCTCCTAATTCCACTGGTTCTGTTTCTATACGTCAACCCAGTAAGGTTGGTTAAAGTATAGCAAGCTCAGAGCGGCGAAGGCGTAGAGCTGCTCTCCGTGCTGGGGACGGAGAACGCTGAGATGATTGTTGTTGATCGGACACTCGATCTTGCTATTTTACTTCCTCGTCAATGATCTGCAGCAATCATCCGAGAACAAGTTATGGCTCCAAGGAGGAAGAATTAGCCTCTCAAGACTCTGGCCGAAATCGATGAGGAGACTACACCTACTGAGGGTGCCTGTGGACCACAGGCTGTGGTGGCACGACAGTGGTGCTTCTACCACAGTACTACTAGTGACTAGTAGTGGTCCAGTACCACTAGTAGCAGTTTGTCGTCACCGACGGCCTATTTCGCGTTGTTATATTCTAATAGAATAATCCTATCGATAGCGCTGTGCGTGATCCCCGTCCCCATGTTTCTTGGCATAGAGGAAGCCGTCCGATTCGGACAACCCGAAGTTCGGGATGCACAGAGTTCGGACGGTCCGAACTATGTGCATCTCTCAAGCCTTATCTCCGCCAACGTTATTTCGATCCCACAGATGTCTTGTCACTTCGACAACAGTTCTACATGCTTTTGTAAGGGCCCCCTGTTACCCTAGCTCATTACTTGGGAGTGCTCGACAATATCGCCAATAGATTGAGACTGAATGGCGTCTGCGTTTCGGTCCGAAACTTTCGGATGAGCATCTCCATGATAGCTTCGGTAATAGTCTAAGAGCGCCCTACCCTGATGGGGCTCTTTGGCTCTTTCTATCGACTGGACGGGGTCTCTCACCGGGGTACCTTTATTCATACTGACACGTTCCCCCCATGGTATGTTCAGTCCACGAGCTCTTCGTCAATGAGCGGATTTGTACACCTAAACTCATCCACGTCACTTTCGTCCAGCTCCATCCGTTCACCTCTGTTTCATCCATGATCTTTTCGGTCAATTTTTTCCTTCCTCGAGGTTTCATCCATTCATGCTCTCGTAACGATCGTTCCCTAAAATTTCCTCCGGAACACCTCATCCACTTCTTTTCGTGCACTAGCGATTTATCTCATCCATGCTCCTTTCGTTTTGGGCCGTTTTGGACATAAGCGGCGCCGTCATGGTGGACCTTACCGTGCTATATTAGGCTAGCTCATCCACCTATATCATACAGGCTATATTATCGCTCGGCCACTAGCCTAATCAACGGGATTAACCGTATCCTGAGTTGGGATGAGATTCACTACTAAGAACGCAACACAGGCTGTGGCACAAGGAGCGTTGGTAGACTGACATCGAATGCATGGTCGTTATCATCATCAGGTTTGAATGGGCACGTACACTTCCATGTCGACACTGTCTGTCTTCAGCGCTTCCCTCATCTCCTTCAAGTCCAGCTTAACACCATTCACCTAGAATAAAATGGTGTACGACCCGCGATGACAACACCACAGGAAAGGCATCAGCGTAACCACAAACATCAGTGTGACTATGCGACATGAGTTGGCCCTGATTAAGAGATAATCACAAGACACACATCACATACCATAGTAATGTATGACCCTTCCGTCACTCTACTCTCCCCAGCCTGGCTCTTATTCCATTTGTCCAACAGCTGCCCTTCCACAATAGTGACAATCTGTAAATCAGTAAGCACCCGTCCGCAGTCAAAGCCCAGCCCGCCGAGCTGCCTGCACGACTCACCTCGAGGCAAGTCGGGCCTCCCGTCACTGCTGCCCCAAGTAACGGTGCTTGATTCACAAAGCCGAACTTGTCGCCTGGTATCGTCTTCGTGAGTTTAACTCGAACCATTCTGCATGATGGAGCCGATGGTGGCTGAGACACAGAACAACTTACGACAACAAACACAATGATGATATTCAGCTCACTAGCAGCTCTTCGTCCGAAGTCAAGAGCTGTTCAGTAGGGACGCTCGACCCACCTAAGATGCATATCTCAACAACGTACCGGCTCCCTATCCCCTCACCTTCAAGAACCATAGTATGGGGAGCCACAGGGGACGGAATGCTCGGAATAGGAGAATCCAACGCCTTCAAAGGGAGTGTCGGATTTACCGTAGCTGCAGCCTGGGCGTCTCTGAGTCGAACATGGCAGATTACATATTATACTCTATCTTGCCAAACCCCCGATACTTCCTGTTGTACACTCACACCTAAAGCTACTGAGACTACTGCTATCACCTCCCACTCACCACTACAATCATAACAACTATACTGGAATGAATATGTTGTTAAAATATGTTTATCACTTGTGTTTTACCGTACGGGTGAAATTCAATGCTGACATGCGGCCGATGATACTCCCAACCCCATGCGCAAATCATCGGATTCAGTTTTACAATAGGGAATCAACATCCTTTCGAACGATCAATTTCGCATCCTTACTTCGATGCGCCCAAGATCTCCTGCGCTACTCCATCATCGGGAGGACCACACAGAGCCTTCACAGGCGCCG